CCTGGCCAAGCGGGTGGCTGACGCCACGGGGGAAGACGCCGCACTGGTTGCGGACCAACATGCCCAGCGACTTTCCGTCTCCCTGCACAGGGAGAACGCGCGGGCGGTGTTGCGGCGCCTTCAGACCCTGTCTGGAGGGGCGGGGGTGGCAGCGGCCCGCCTGGCCGCGGCCACAGCGGCCTCCACGGCAGACGCCGTGTGAGGTGCCCCCTGCGCTGCCTAGCGCCCCCCGCCCACCCCCCCCCGCCCTTGCTGGGCAGCGCGGGCGCCCCCCTCGCCCTTTCGCCAACGTCGCGCCGGCGACCCCTCCCACGCGCCGCCCGGCCTTTCCCCGGCGGGGCGGTGGATGGATCCCGCAGAGGGCAATCCCCACCAAGCCGCATCGCGCTGGGTTCGGGCGGCCACCCCGCCCAGGTCGCCGCCGTAGGGTCCGCAGCCTCGTCGCGGGCGGCTCTTCTCTCCCGGCCCCTGGCCCGGCCTGTCTGCTTGCGGCCGCTGCTTTCTCTCCTCCTTGTCCTCCTCCCCCTCCTCCCCCTCCCTTCGCTTCTGCTCGTTGCTTCCCTCCCTTTCCTTTCCTCCTGCTCCCTGCCTGCTGTCTCCGCCTGGCCCGTCTTCTGCCTGCCCGCCCGCCCCGCCGGCCCTGGCCTCCCGCCTGGGCGTTCGTCGTCGTCTGCCTGCTTCTCCCCTCCTCGTCCCCTTCCGCCGGGCAGCGCAGCCTGCCCGGAACCAGCGTGGCGGCATAGAATCGCGGATCTCCGCCGCCGAACGAGGCGGCGCCGCCCGCCCGCTCTCCAGCGAGCGGTTGCAGGAAAGCTTCTGTGGGGCCAGGTGTTGGCCCTCTTTGGGTTGACACCTCGCCGATCAGACATTCCTGGTCAGACATTCCGATGTCCATCCAAGGTGCTTCCCGGGGAAGCTGCCTGGGCGATCGTTTTGGCAGAGCCTCGCTGGGGACAGGGTGACAAAGTCTGTGATAGAACTGGTTGGGATGGCGATGGTGGTCGCGCGGGAGAAACGTGCCGTGTCTGCGCGGAGGCCGCTGCCGAAGCGGCACCAGGCGAGGTACGTCGCGTGGCTCAAGCGCGGATGTATCTATCGGCATGTGTTGGGATTCAGTCAGTTTGAGGGTCAGGAGGCGGGGTCGGATGTTGGATCTGAGCGTTGCTCGCGTGGGCCGTCAGTGTAGCATCGTTGTCTGTGATGTCGGTCTGCATCTTCTGAACACTCAGTACGCCACGTACTTCAACGTTAGCGTCGTGGGCTCGCTGGGAGTACCGGCCCAGCCGATGCTCTAAATCCTGGGTTCGTCGATGGTGTGCGTCTCGCTCTTGTTCCAAACGGGTCAGTGCTTCCTCAGCCCGTTCCTTATCAGCGTCTCGTTCTTGGGAGATTTGGGTGAATTGCAACTGCGCGCGGCCCGCCGCAATCCGTACCTCGGCCAATCGGGCTTCGAGGGAGGGGAAGTCGTAAACCGAAGTCGGTGTTCCCAGCTAATCAGTCTGGGTCTGGATAACACGCAACTCAGCCAGTGCAGTCCTTCTTTCAGTTAATTGCTGCTCGACCGTCATAACCGCGGAGACTCGGTTTTCAAGCGTTGGCACACTCCCCTCAGAAGCGTCAAGACGTTGAGCGATGGCCATCTCGGCACCGCCCAGCTTGCCTTGCAACTCAGACGTGAGCGTGGTATGTCGGGGGTGTAGTGTGGCAGTGGCCATCTCAACCTGGGCGCGAAGTGTACTGAGGTCCTCGCGTAGTTGTTGATCCGTGATTACATTCACCTCCATAGCTGGGATCTGCCGCGCTGTCAGGAGCTCCTCGTGGAGCGTCCTTATGGCGGCAGCGCCTGTGCCCCTGGCACTGACAAGTTGGGCCTCTATCCGAAGGAGGTAGTCGCGTAGCGTCTTGATTGTGGTGGAGTCGGAACCTCGGTGTGGCTCCATTTGGTCAACTTGATGCTGGACCTGGGCGAGGATCGATCGATCTTCTGCGATCCGAGCGTCGACCAAGGCAAGGGCTTGATGAAGCTCTTGTCTGAGGGTGGCCGTCTGCGCGGCCAGGCCCGACAACTGTTGGGTCGTGTAAGTTTCAACCTGGTCTCTAAGTTCAGCGATATCATTGGTGGAGGGAGAGGCACGCGATACCATGTCGCGTCGCAGGGAACTGTGCCGTGAGCACCTCTGAGAGGGGCTGCGGCTGTTGTCCCGAGTGGGAGAGCGAATGCGATGCCGTTCTGGAGCCCTTCGCTGCGATGCCCGTCCAGTGCGATTCTCGATAACACGCACATGCTCAGATACAGACATGAGTGGGTGATGTGACCTTAGCCTGGCGGCGGGGGCGCGCGAAAGGGTTTTCTGGAGACGTTTCGCTGGCGCCGCCGCTGCGGGTGTTCCCATCGGCGCATCGTCCATCAGCGAAGGTTGGAGAAGAAGACGGAGGCGAGGCGAATCCAGCGGTGGCTCCGAGGCCAACTGCAGGTTTCCCCACCGGCACATGGGAACGATCAAAGGCGGTGCCAGGAAACGGTCCAGTGGACGTAGCAGGCGCAGAGACAAAAAAAATATGTGAGTTCCCAGGCGCGTGAACGCGCGCGGGCGGCGGCGGCGGCGAGTCGGGTAGGAGCTCGCCAAGAGCAGCCGCGAGCGACGCGGAATTGCCGTCGCTTGACAGGGGGGGAATGGGTATCACGGATTCTCTCGCCCTCTCCGCGTTGTCGCCGCGCCCACGCGCCGTTGAAGATGCCGCGCGCATAGCGGCATTGCGCCCCGAAGGGCGCAGAACCATGCGACGGGGTCAAAGCGGACGCGTGGCGCAGCGGCGAAGAGCGTAAATTAGTAGGCTTGTAACCTGTGTGTATAGGTTTACGACCGAGGAGTCGAACCTATACGTTTCTCAATTGGCAGAGATGAAAGAGGAAGAGGTTAACTATTCTTTTTCCTGGGCGCTGTGCGGGCAGCAGCGCGGTGTGTACACCAATACCTGAGCCAATACGCTAGCGGTATGTAATGATACAGTGGTGATATGAACGGACTTCGCACACCATCGAGGAGCATATTGGACCATCTTGTAAGCAATCAATGATACCGGAGAAAAACCCCATCAGAGATTTGTTTGATATTACAGGAGATAGGGCTATACGACTATAGGGCTATTGAGCTATCTGGCTATATGGCTATAGGGCTATAGAGCTGTAGGGCTATAGGGCTATTGGGCTATTGGGCTATAGGGCTATAGGGCTATAGAGCTGTAGGGCTATAGGGCTATTGGGCTATAGGGCTATAGGGCTATAGGGCTATAGAGCTGTAGGGCTATAGGGCTATTGGGCTATTGGGCTATTGGGCTATAGGGCTATAGGGCACCCGTGCACCCCCGGGCACGCCCGGGCACCCCCGGGCACCCGGGCACCTGGGCGTGCAGCGAAAATCGGCGGCAAACTTAATTTAACCATATGAACCCGCTAGGACCCCTACAGAGGCAAGCTCTGATTGGGGAAAAACGCACCAGACCGACAAATGCACGGGGAATGGACGTCCGAGCGATGGCAAGTGTTCGCCCGCGGGCCCTCTTTCCGAGAACAGCACGGGTAGTTAACGCGAACAAAGCCGCTGATGAAGCACACGCCGCGGGGGTCGACAGCAGGCACGGTGAAGCGGCTACCCAGGTCACCCGTGGGGGCTCGAAGCTAGTTGCGTTTCGCGCGTCGCGGTCTGGTCAGAGCGGTTGCCCTGGTCCACGGGGGCGGCGCAAGGGCGCGAGGGCGCGAAGAAAATCGCGCATCGCGGGGCGCGATGCGCGAAGTCAGGTGACCCAGGTAACCACGGGGTCCGGGGGCTTCACGCACTCGGTTGCAGTGATGGTTCCCAGTCAGGTTGCCTTGATGAGTGAGGCGTAGCACCACGCAGCGTAACGACGACGACGACGACGACGACAGGAGTCAACATGAAGACGTTTGCGATTTTTCGCTGTGAGATTGTTTTGGAGGCCTCTTGGGGCCATCATGGGGCCCTCTTGCGGCCATCTTGGAAGCCTCTTCGACTGTCGAGGAGGGGACGGCCGCCAAGGGCAGGGCACCCGCAGCAGGGCGCGGCCAGAAGGACCGCGGGCGCACGCGCCTGGCGACGTGGCGACAGCATCGCCCAGCACGTCGTAAGCGACATCGCGCGGGCGAAGCGGGAGGTGGCGACAGCGGCGCGCGGGGCTCCGTGAGACCTTTCAAGGCGGGGGCCAGGCGCGAGGTCCTGTGGCGGCGGTTTTGAACCCGCACGCTCCGGTGGGCGCCGCCACGGGGTGGCCCCCCCCAACCTTCCTCTCTTTCCCCCGCGGCGGCGGGGAATCCAGGGCGGGAAGGCCCCCCCATGCCGCAGCGGGCACTATGGAACGTGGGAAGGTGTGACGGTGCGGCCGGCGGGCCTCGACGCTAGCAGCGTCTGGTGGAGGGCCCCGGGGACCAAGCCCCCCGCACCTCGGGGCCCCCGCCATTTCCTCAGTGGTGACCCACTCCCATCGCTGAAAGGGGGGCATCACGTTCTTGGGAGTGGCTCGGGCCCCTGCGCTTCATCCACGTCACCACCCCTCTTTTACCACCATCGCACCGTTAACAGGGCCATTCGAGGACACGCCCCCGTATAGGGCCATTCGAGGACACGCCCCCGTGTGCTAACACGAACGTGTATCCTCTCACTCTGCCCGATGCCTGTGGCCATTTGGGCTCAGGCTTTCGGCCGATTTTGAACAACCTACCCACCACCCTGGGGCATGAAGGGCATCCAGGGCCGTTCGAGGGTACAAATACATGTGTAGTTTTCTTCTCGGTTTTCTTCCCCCGCCCTTGTCCGCATGCGTACACGTTGGCACGCTCTGCCTTTTTCGGCTTGGTGTTGAGTGGGCGACAGGTGTTGCCATTGTCTTGCATTTCCCCCCGCCCCTTTCTCGCCGGTGCCGTCTTGCACAGCGCGCCTCTCGCGTTAGGTATCATTGACCATGTGTCCTTTTGTCCATGCCAGGTTCAACTACCTGCCCTCAGAATCAGAGGTTACCGCCGAGATTCTGGCCCGGCTTGCCAAGAAGGAGTTGCCCTCTGCTCCTCCTCCTCCTCCTTCGTTCCCCTTCCTCCGCCCTCCCTCTCTCCCTCCCTGTATCTCTCTCTCTCTCTTTTTCTCTTCCTCTCCCTCTCTCTCCTCTCTCTCTCTTTCTCTTTCTCCCCTCTCTCTCTGTCTTTCTCTCTCACCGCTCACTTCCCCCGTGCATGTTTGCATTCCCTCTTCCCCTCTTCCTCCGTCCCTCTCTTCCCTTCCCATCCCCCGTGCGTTTCTCGATCCTTGGTTCGGTTGCGCCTCTCTGCTCTCTGCCTCTCTTTCCCCCCACCCTCCAAGTTTTAGTTCGCCCAGACGTTCCCACATTGTTGGTTCAGGTTTGAGTAGATGGGGCCACTTGAATGCACGGGTTCGGGTTTGATTTGCAGCTGGTTTGACTGGCCATCACCGTCCCCACGTGTTCGCTATCATATCGGGCTGTCTGCGGCAAACCCCGCCACCGTGCCTGTGCAACAGCGCAATTCCGACGACTGGTCTGAATGAGGACAGGTCGTGAAGTCGACTTTGTCTTCGCCGGCGCGGTAACAGGGCGGTTGAGTTCACGCCCCGCGGCAGTGCAGCGATTGTTCTGAATCGGGAGGGACCGTGATCTTGACCTCGTCTTCGTCCGTGCGGTGTGGAGGAAGAAGAAGAGGAGGAGGAGGAGGAGGAGGAGGAGAAAGAGGAAGCGGAGGTGTAACATCTGAAGGCGAGGAGAAGGTGAATTCATGGGCCCTTTCCTTGGGGCCTCCTGTGAGCCTCCTGTGGGCCTCTTGGGGGTCTCTTGGTGGCCTCCCGGAGCCTCTCGGAGGCTTCTTAGGGCCTCGCGGGCCGTCTTATGGAGCTCTTGGCTCGTCTGGCGCGTTCGATGGACGTCTTGTGGGCCTCCCTGGGCCGTATTGGTCCGTCTTGATACATTCTTGAAGCGCTTCAGGGCTACCTTGGGGCTATCTTGGGCTCTCGTGGGCGATCTTAGGGCCCTTTTGGGCCGATTTGGGGCCATGTTGGGGACCCCTTGGGTTGTATTTGATCTATATCGGGGGCCTTTGGGGCCATCTTGGGCGGGCGGAAACCCGAACAAGCGAGAACCTCAACTTCACTGAAAGCCCAACAGAAATTCCATGGTTTTAGTTGTCTCGGGCTCTTCTCGAGGGCCTCTTGGAGCACTCTTGGATGCTTCGTGAGGCCGGTTGGGCTTCTTGGGTCAATTTAGTTGACTCTTGGCCCGTCTGACACCTTCGGGGGCCGTCTTGGCGGCCCTATCATTGACTTGAGAGTAGGTAGGGTAGTGGGTTTAGAGGCGGGGGGAGGTTGAGTATTGTTCGGAGATGGATGGGCCTGGAGGGGTCACCGACCTGACTGCTGCTACAAGTCCTCTGAAGGTCGCAGTCAGCATTTCGTTTGCAGCTATGCTTGTCCATACTAGATCCTTGCAGGATCGCACGCGTATTTCGCTTCACCCTCGTTCGGTGCCTCCCCTCGTTAAGGCTATATAGCTTTACCTCGATCGGTCGTTCCTCCTCTCACACCGCATGGCTGGCGCATACCCTGTGCCTCCGAGGGCCCACATTCTTGGCCCGCTCTCATTGCCCGTTCTGCTGCGTCAGCCAGGCGCAGTTTGTTTCATTTCGCTTACGTCGTTGATTTGTTGCATCATCACTTAACGCAACAGTCCCCGCCTCAGTTTTGCCGAACGTCAAAAGAGGACGAGGAGGAGGAGGAGGAAGGGGAGGGGGAGGGGGAGGGGGAGGAGAGGGAGGAGCGAGGGGAGGAGGAGGACGAGGGGGAGGAGGAGGAGGAGGAGGAGGAGGAGGAGGAGGAGGAGGAGGAGGAGGAGGAGGGGAGGAGGAGGAGGCGGAGGCGGAGGAGGAGAAGAAGGATCATAATAGTAATACGAATCATAACAATAGTAATACACATAGGAATGCAATTAATAATAGTACTACTAAAATCAAGGGCATAAACAACGGCCCTACCCTGGTTTACGAGGCGCTGTGCGCTGAAACTCCTGTGGGCTGACAGGGTAAACCCTGCATGATGTGCCGCGTCCTGGCGGTTCTCTAGGCTTTGGGGGGTCCCAGGAGGTTTACAGACCATGCACTTGTAACCCAGGGTAGGGCCGTTTTTTCATCCCTCGATAAAAAAGACTTAATAATCGCAATAGTAGTATCAATAACCACCATAATAAGAACACACGTGTACATAATAGGAATCATAAACATAATGCAAATAAGAATAAGAAGAGGAGGATGAGGACGACGACGACGACGACGACGTCGCTCCTCGATCCCCTCTCCTCGTCTGGCCCCTCGTCCCCGGCCACCCGGTCAAGGAGCAGCGCGAGGCGAGCCCGAGCTCGAAGTCGGCCAGGATCAGCGGCCAGGAGGACGTGTCGGCGGATGACCGCGGGGGCCGCGGGGCACGCCTCCTTGGAGCAGGGTCGAGGGCCGAGGCCCCGAGGAGAGAGGAGGAGGACCGAGAAGGAGGAGGATCGAGGGGGAGGAGGATCCAGGAGGATCGAGGAGGATGAGGAGGAGGATCGAGGAGGGTGGAGCCACGCCTCCGAGAACAGGGTCAAGGATCGAGGAGTCGGATCGAGGAGGAGGATCGGCCACGCGCGCAGCGGGTAAGGGGGGAGGGGGGAGGGCTCCTTGAAAGGAGGCTGCTTCTCAGAAGGCGCGGGTCCTGCCTGCAGATGTGAGGCTGGCACCTTCTAAGAAGCGGCCTTATAGGAAGCCTTGCCCCCTCCCCGCGCCCCCCGGTGCGCGCCGCCAGACGAGAAGGATCGAGGATCGTGGCCCCAAGGATCCAGCAGGAGGATGAAGGCCCCGAGGATGCCAGCGAGGATGGGAGAGGCGGGAGGAGGGGGCGGGAGGAGGAGTCGTTACCATACGCTCCTTGCCGCCGTCGATGTATACATAACCACGTACGCAGACACATGCTTGGCTGTCTGCAGCTATTCGTGGTTCGGAGAACGCGTGCTCATACTGTATACTTTCCTTACCCAAAACTTAACGGGATACACATATCCTTTTACATTCCACAGTGTCCATTGACCCGCTAGCATGGACCCCAACAGTGAGGACTACCGTACTTGACGATATTGGCCTGGTTGGGCCTAAGTTGGGTAAAGATGGGTTATCAGCCGAAAGCTCTGGGTTATGGACAGCCGCGTTCCGATAAAGATGGGGCAGGAGCGAGCACCTCCGTGAACGTGGAAAAGCACACGGGAGGGAGAACCAGCCCCAAAGATGTGGAAATGTTTGAGGAACGAGTCGACGGACCAACGAAGTCGACCTCACATTGCATCCGAGAGACGAAAGCAACAATGTTGCAGAATATCAACTCACCCGAGAGACCTATATCACCTGCAGAGGAGGATGACAAGGCCATCGAGAAGTTGATGAAGAAGAACCCCTTCGCTAATATACGGGCCCCGTCTCTAGCAGGTGAGCCATCGGGATATGATGATGCCCCTGAGAACCGTGGGCGAGAAGATACCCCAATTCCACACGATGACATCGACGAGCAGGATGATTGGTATATGGGGGAAAGCCCTGCCCGCGCAACCCGCTGTCGGGGGACGTAGATCAGGCCTATTTCGCGAACTCAAGCTCGTCGGACGAGGACGACGAGACCGAGCACATCGCCGCGCCGGTGAAGACGATGACAATGTCGATCTCGTATGAGAAGAGTTTGGGATCGGCATCCGATCGGACCCCGGAGAAACGGGATACGGACTATGTCCGGAGAAAGGGGGAGTCACACAGCCCGCGGGACAGTGTCGAACGTCAAAAGGACCTCGCGGCCTCGTCCGGGGGGCCTGGGATAAAGACTCGCCACGGAAAAACCCCTTTGGGATGACCCGGTGGACGTTAAACAATCTCCGTGCGAAAAGCGCCCAAAGACAGAGCCTGGCGGCTCGAGCGGCCAAGAGGATCCCGAGGCAGTCCCTGATCTGATACGCCGTGGAAGGCAATTATTCGAGTCGCCCGGCTCGATTTCCAGGAGGTCGAGGTCGGGACAGGGTGGCCGAAGTCGCAATTCACGGGGATGCATTCACGGGCCCTCCCTGTCCAGATCATCAACGTCTCGATTCTCTATTTGGGAGTCATGTGCGAACCGCGGGCCGGCGTGCGAGCCGGGCCCCGAGAGTCGGTGCCCGGGCAGGGCGGCCGATGATCGGCCATGCCAGAAGCCTGTGTTCCGGGGGGTTTCTGTCCAATGTGACCCGTGTAATCTTGCGTATCTTTGCCAGGAATGTTTGCCACCGATGCAGCGCAATTGCTTTGCGTATAAACGCCGCGAGTGGGAGCTGCAACAGGAAAGGAGGCAGAGCCAACTTGAGGAGGAGCGCGCTTCCGAAATAGCGGCCATGCGCACAATGATGGCAGACATGGAAGCAAGGGAGAGAGCACAGAATGAACAGGCGGCACAGCAGGCCGAACATGAGCTTAATGCAATTCTCAAAAGGGAGAAGGAGCAGAAGGATGCCCTCTATGAGGCTGCATTAAAAGCAGATAGCGAGGCCAAGGAGCAGAAAAGGGCCGAACAGGCTGTCGCGGAACAGGCCCGGCAAGCACTCTGGGGAGCGCAGGGCCGAGAAGCGAAGTTCGAGGAACAGGTTCGCGCCGAGCTCCGAGAGGCAACCATGGCGCAGGAGCGGTCCGTTTCCGAGGCGGAACAGATCGCAGCCAAGTCTATCGCCGAGAGACGCCGATTGGAACATAATGCCGTCGAGGCGAAGAGGACAGCAAATATCGCCCCGGGAAGCACAGGCAAAACAGCAACAGCTGGAGAACGAGGCCAGGAACGCGCAGATGGGGGCAGCCAACGCGCAAGCCGAACTCCAGCGAGTTTCTGATTCAGCTAAGGCGATTCGTGGGGAGGCATGCGGAGAAGCCGAAGCATTGATCCGAGTCAGGACAGAAGCCCTCGCAGAGCACGAGGCGGCCCTACGAAAGGCGACAGAGATGAAATCGCTGCAACACAAAGCCCAGATAGCTGTGGGAACTTCCCAGGCAGGCCATGTAAACGCGAAAGCTGAGGCAGAAGAGGCAATGCAAGCGCTGCGGAGAGCTGAAATGCAAGCTCAAGCCGAAGTTGAGGAGACAAAGCAGCGTCTCCACAGAGAAGCTGTTTCAAACGTGCAGGAATAGGAAGCACGTCGTGAACTATCCTACAGACAACAGGCCATGCAGACGGTGCAGGAAGGGCTCCAAGGTGTGACAAGCACGGTAAGGAGAGCCGTCTCCGCATCGGCGACACGGGTCCGCCCCGTTAGTGGGGCGATGTCCCAGCGGGAGGATTCGCGATCCAGGCCGACCGCAGCGGATGCGACCAGGTGCTTTGCATGTCACGTGGCCGATGCCCTGCGCACATGCGAAAGATGCCAGAGGCAGTTTTGTGAGCAACACCTTGATTGGATCATGAGGCGGCGTGCGCAGTGTGAATCTGACCGCGCGCGAGACCACGAGACAGCGCTGAGAAGGCAGCATGAAGTGGGGGAATCCATGGTGAAGAATAGGATGCAAGAAGAGGAAGAAGCCAAGCGGTCCAGAGACAAGCAAAGGGCCAATGAAGAGGCAGTAGCTCTTCGACGCATTCACGAGCTTGAAGAGAAAGCCGAACAGCGCGCGCGCGATGGAGAAAGCAGCGCAAAGCAGGCTGAGGAGATGCGCGAAAAGGCGGAGGCAATGATGAGAGAATCAGAGATTGCCGCTGCCAAGGCCAGTGACAAAGACAGCCATCAGGGGGAATTGGCCCCTAGCAGAATACAGGAACAAAGAAGAAAGGAGGACAAAATAAACCGAACGGACCGCCTGTCAGCACTTTCCCGGGGTGCACTACGCCAGCCCGGCCGAAGAAAACCACGGCCACTGCGGGCGACCTCGCAGGGGGTGGCGATCAGCCCCCGCACCAGGGCAATGCCCGCGGTGACGGAGACGGGCCGGGGAAGAAGAAGGGGGTCCGGTCGCGCGCCTGGGGGCGGTAACCCTGATGATGGCGGCGACAGCGATGACGACGACGAAGATGATTCCGATGATGAAGACGACTCCGAAGAGGAGGATTCCGAGGAAGAAGATTCCGACGACGAGGATGATGAAACCTCCGAGGAAGAGGATGAGGATGCAGCGAACCGTAGAGCCAGACGATGCGCCGAAGCCCAGAGAGCTGGGCAAGGCGATCCGGGGGGTGGGACCACCGCCGTCAGGACCTCCAGGAGGAGGCGGGGCGGGGGCCCAGGGCTCCCGGACTCCGGCGGTCTGGCGCCTGTGGTGACACCGTGGATTGCGGCAGATCGAATCGACAAGATAATTCTGGACCCGCTGCCAGACGCGGGATCCTTCCGTATGTGGAAGAAATGTCTCATTCGAGCGGTGGCATCGAGCTCGCAGCAAAATCATGTGTTGGTGACAAAGTGGGTTGCCGGGGCATTCGAGCCTGAACAGGTCAAGGCAAAGGCTCTGAAAGACCCAGGGCCGTATTTCGGGAACCTGGACATGCGGGTAGCTGCGGACCTCATCGCGAATATTAATAAGATTCAAAGGGGTCCGAATGCTTCTCATGCCTTAAGGCACCTTGCCAACGAGGTTGATCTCGCTGACTCTGCCCTAATGAAGGAAGGGGGAGTATTCTCAGGAAGATCGATTCTTCGCATTATTCAAACCCATGTCACTACTCGCGAAGATCATGGTCAGGTGTATACCTACGAGGACCTTATGGCCATCCAGATCAAAAGGGGAAGGCAAAGAGGCAGATCGCGACCTCTACCACTTCTACGATGAATGGATGAGGGTGACACTGGAGATGGAGACCCCTCAAGTCCTTCAGGCCCTCTATACAGAGCCATTTCTACAAGCAGATGAAGAAGTGCCCTTGCATGACGATGACTCTTGCAATGTATGACAACAGCAACGACCAGTACGGAAAGGGCATGAAGTCGCATGAATGGTTGCTGGGGAGGATCGCAAACCAGATGCTGAAGGACCGGGGAGAGGATAATAGGAGGGTCCAAAAACAGCAGATCAACAAGCGAGGGGTGAAACCCAGTGGCGAGAAGATTGGTGGGGGGAACAAGGACCCCCTTACCATGAAAGATGGGAGGCCCAAGAAGTCCGTCATCTGCCGACGCTGGCAAAAGGGGCAATGTCCCCTGAGCCGACAAGATTGCATGTACCTGCACCCCAAGAAGGTTGCACCCGCATCCCAGCAGAAAAGAGGCACGACTCAGGTGGCTACACCAGGCCCCTCCAATGGAAGGCACGGCTGGGAAGAGCAGAAGGGGGCAGATCTGAGTCAAGGGGCAAAGGTAAGAGCGATAAGAAAAACAGGGGCAAGGGCAAAGGCGACAACAAACATTGCAAGCAAGACCGCTCAAAGAAACATGGACGCGGCAGCAGCC